CTGCCACGGAACTTGTAGCTGGCGCTTGTCACAGTGTATTCGACATCCAATGTAGTATCGATGAGGACTCATGTCGAATGGAAGGCGCACCCTCATATCACTCGTCAGATGAACGCAGAATGACCGGGCGGATCCTTCTGATTGTAGTGTCATGTTCTTGGGATGATTGATAATCGATGAAGAACGTTGGTATGGGTTAGAGCAAAAATGGGCGGTAAGGATGGTGATCATGAGGCCCCCACACAAAAGGATGAAGCACTACGGAAAGCCACATGGCCTACATGCAGCAAGGCATGAAACAATGCTGTTAGAACAGTTCCTGGACGTTGAAAAGGGAGGGTGTTGTGCGACATCATTCCAGGAAACCTGACAGTCACGGTGCCAAGAAGATTGTACTAAACGTGAAGAGCAGATTTACTGAATTGAATGCTATGAGGTTTAGCATACGCGTTCTTGTGAAAGACGTGAGGGGGGAACGAAGGAAGAGGTTGGATTCATTAGTGGGAACTCAAGTCGTGAAACCGATCGGAAGAGGCCGTGCTTCTGCACTGCCGCATTTCGTCCGGTACTGAAGAGCTGAAGTACTAGGGCAAGAAGTTTTTCATTACATACAAAGAGGAAAAAATTTGTAGCAAACAATTGTACATGATGATTAGCTAGTATGTCCAAGGCGGAGGGACCCCGGTCGTGTCAGTTCGCAAAGAATCCGAAAATGTCCATGCCAGCCTTTTTCATCAGATCCGACATCGAACCGTAAGATTTTTCAGATCGTCGCGAGTATGCATCCTGAAGGATGTCTCTCAGAAGCTCGTACTCGTTCAACACAAGCATATCTTCGAGCGGCTGCTCTCGCACAACCATCGTCAATGTATCCCGGGAGACAGCGTACATCCGCTGGGAACGGATAGGAGGATCGTTCTTCATCAAATTCGACCTGACGTTCTCCTGCGTCCTCACGATGTACTCCTTGCGTGCCTCGTCAAGAATCATGGCAGGGTCTTTCTTCGCGCCAGCTCCCCGCCTTTTCTTCTTCATGAGATTATCAATGTGAATATCAGATTTAGAACGAACGATATACGTCGGGATATTGTATCGTTCGCAGTTCTTCAGAATAGCGATATCTGTGGCAGTGAAGCGGTCGTTGAAGAGAACAATGATGGCGTCGAAAATGTAAAGGCCCTGGTCATTGAAGTAGGTCCAATCAGAGCATGAGAGCGTTCCCGACCCTGGCACGTCGAACCAAATAAAAGGGTTGGCAGGATTCGGATCAGGGTAGGGAGTGACAACCGACGTGCTTTCGATGATATCGGTCATAGCAGCACCAGAGTCACCATCCCAAATGCCTCGAAAGGCATTGATGAGAGACGATTTTCCCGTTCCCGAAATTCCGGTGATGGCGAGATGAAATTTGCCCTCCTTGTAAAAACGACGTTTCGTCGCCTCGTATTTCTCCTTGGAAGGCCATTCGACTGGACGAATACCTGTCTTCCACTTCGCCTCCATCGCCTCCTGGACCTCCATCGCTTTCTTCATCTCTGCTTCCTTCTTGCGCACCTGCTCTTGCAACTCGTTGGCAGCCTGAGCAGCCCTCTGAGCAGCCTCGTGTTCTCGTCTGGCAATTTCGGCTTGCTCTTCCTTCTCCCTCTCGAGCTGCGCTGCTATCTGAGCCGCCATCTGGACCTCCTCCTGCTGGACTCTGATTCTCTCGGCCTGTTCCTGCCTTTGCTGCTCCGCAGTTTGGGCCGCTCTTTGCGCCTCCTCTTGCGCCCGCCTCAGTCTTTTGGCGTGCTCCTGTCTCTCTCGTTCGATTTGCTCGAGGTGTCGTTGAGCTCTCTCCGCCTCCTCTCTTCTATGCTGTTCTTCGATGGCCTGCATTGTCGGATTGGGCCCGACTTCGCCGCCTCCAAACAACCAAGATATGACACCGCCCATGCTTTGACAATAGCTGAAAGTGACAGCAGTTAGATATGTGTAGGCACCTGTGACATGTGCTCGAGTACCTTTCTGCGAAGTAACGAAGGTTCTTTGGACAAAGCGTCGATACTCTAGCAGAGAACGTGTGAATCAGTATATATCATGCTGAGTTGTTTTATTCGTCTTACAAATTACAATGGAGACGCGATGTCGGTGATCGACGAAACGATGAACAGGGGATACGTCTATCGCGGCGACAAGTCGAAGACCAGAGGAGCGATGAACTGAGAGCTGTCAAACAAAAAGCTACTCCGTGAAGATTCTTATAAGCCCGGGTTTCATACAAAGAGCGAGCCTTGCGATCACAGCTCCAACTGCGCGTGCCCGTCACACGATAGGCGCCATCTGATTCTTTTCTTCTAGCAAAAATCCAAAAATATACCTTGCTTCGCAGATCATGGAAGAGACTATTGGTCGTTATCGATGGAAAGCTGCACAGGAACTAGGAAAATGACGGAACCAAGAATACGTTCCAAT